ATGACAAGGATATTCATAGACAATGTCGAAAAATGTATGCTCAAGCAAACATGCTGTTGCGCAAATTCAGCATGTGCTCAGTGGATATAAAGATTTGTCTGTTTAAAGCATTCTGTACTTCTCTTTATACTGCCCACTTGTGGTGTCGATACAAGAAAAGCAGCATGCAGAGACTCACTGTGGCTTACAATGATTGTATGAGGTTGCTGCTTAAGGCTCCAAGAAGCTGCAGTGCAAGTCATATGCTTGCTAGTGTTGGGGTCCCTACCTGTGCTGCAGTGATACGGAATCTGATGTATAGATTCATATGTAGAATATCGAACTCATTAAATTGTATTATTTCATGCCTAATTGACCCTGCACTCAGCTCAGTCAGGTTCACGTCTAAGATGTGGAATCACTGGCGATCTTGCCTGTACACTTGTGTGTGACTCTTATATTTTATTTTCTGTACATCACTGTTTTATTGTGTATTGTTATCTTTTTTAAATTGTGTATGTTGTTTGTCTATGCTCTTGCTATGTGCTCCTTGAGATGTGTCTTTAATAAAGTATGAATTGAATTGAATTTCACTATGTATTTATAGTGCTGCCCCGTGTGAACTTAAACTCATCAGTAGGGTCTTATTTTCACTTTACCTTATTTGATAATAATCATCATCATCATCATCATTATCATAATCATAATTATTATTAGTAAAATAATTATTCAAATAAATATATAAATAAAATATAACACATATGAAAATAAATGCAATAATAATAATTAGCATTATTACATTAAAATAAATTAAATTAATTAAAATAGAAAATAAAATGTAAAGTAAATATATAAATAAAATAATATTAATTGTTATTGTTATTGTTGTTGTATGTTATTGTACACTGCATTTTTTTTCTTTTCTTTTCCTTTTACATTTATTATTTTTATAATTTCAAAAGCCTCCTGTGGACAAGTGTTGCGAATTAGCTCGTGTGTTAAAACACTCAAACAATGCATCTGGTCCGTCCAATGCAATTGTGATGTCAATATATAAATTATCAATATTATTATTGCATTTTTTTGTAGTTTTTTTTTTTATCTATATTTCACCATTTATCTATAGTACTGGTTCGTTTCCAAGTTCAGTGCATTCCATTGTACCTCTGACCCTGCGTTAACCTAAAGTCATCATAAGGATCATTAAAGCAGCCCATCAACCTGACTGGCACCACCCTGAGATGAAAGAAAACCATCTATATGCACATCAAGTGGAGGGGAGGGGGGGGTGCTTATCTCCCCCTGCACGTGCAGACGGTCTGTCCAACCTGATGCCTCTTAAATATTGTTGCACCTTAAAGCCAGATCTGACATCTATAAATATGACACGCTCCAACATGCGTAAAAACCCTAATTTTCTGCAAAGATGCAAGAACTGCTGAGACAGACTGGGCTGCACGGCTCGCTGCTCCCGGACGGGGAGTGCTTCGACATGTGGCATGACTACATGAACCTGGGCGGACTGCTGAAGATGCTGAGTGGCAATCATGATCTGGGCTACACAGACATGGAGGGCTTCGAGACAGAAGCAGCAGCACCGTGGAGCTACTTCAGGGCATCTTGGGAGGAGGATTTCAAAAACTACTATGGGACTAGTTCACCCAGCGGAAGCCTCTTGGGGACTACTTCACCTTTGACAATGTCGGGGACTACGTCACAGAGCAGCAGCCTGTTAGGGACTAGTTCAGCCTTCACCCTGCCGCAGGCTGCTTCATCCAGGAGCACCAGCTTCTCCGGGACCACTTCACCCAGGAGCACCACCCTCTGCGGGACTACGTCACCCAGGAGCAGCAGCCTCTCCGGGCCTGCCTCACCCTCCAGCCTCTCGGACAGCAGCTGCAGCGAGGCCTCCTCCTTGTACTGCCCCTTCTGCAGGCACAACGGGGAGACTGCAAAGGTGTACCGGTCACACAACCTGAAGTCAGAGGACGGGAAGGTGAGCTGCCCCATCCTCTACAACTACACCTGTCCCATCTGTGAGGCCACCGGGGACAACGCCCACACCCGCAGCTACTGCCCACAGGCCAGGAGGCCAGACGCTGCGGGGATCCTGCCGTGGCTCAGGCTCAGAGCTCGGAAGGGAAACTGAAATGACTGATGATGCTGAAAGGACTGTATATAATTACTGAGACCTGTTTTGGGCACGTGTTCATGTTAAACTGTTGCAGGTTCCTGATGAGATTCAAGTGAAATTGTGCACTTTGCATTATTATTATGTTACTGTCATTGTGCTCCAGTCATGCTCTGCTATGAATAGCCTAAATATGATTTCAGTCTCAGGTAGAATGTTTTCAAACCTTGAGACAACTATGTTGAAAATTCACAATTTGGAAAATTATTTTTTGTATGTATTATCAAAAATAAATATGGCTGAAGTTAGTTTTGTTGTTGTGGTCATTGTAACTGTTTAATTTGAGGGTGAAATCAGGCAAAACTATTGACAGCTTATTTTCGATAAGAAACTATAGTTGTATTTCCAAACCTAAATATGCAAATGCACTTTAGATTTAACACAAAAATGAGTGATTACAGCAACCTGAACTTAAATAATTAAGATCAGATATAATAGGTAGCCTACCGTTTTAATAGCAAAAGAATACACCTTCATTAATCCTCAGTGGGAGTTAAGTTGTTGCAGTGGTACAGGGACAGAAATAAACACAGATAAGTAATAAAATACCAGAAATAAGATGTGAATAAATTAAAATTAAAACAATAAAACCTATAAGAGCATTTAGAAGACAAGTGACACGGTAAAGTGAGTGATACTGTTAAAGTGTCAGTGTATGATTATTAACAGCAGGGTCAACAGGTGTTGGTTGGACGGTACCGTGTTCGTCTATTAATATATCAGAATATAGTGCAAAAGTAAAGTAACATTAATATAATACATTGTGATATAGTATGAGATAGACATAAGGTGTAATAGTGCACTGAGTGTCATAATGTATAGTTCAAAAATATAAGTAGCCTATAGTGCAGTGCAGCAAAAAGGGGAGCAATGAGTCATCATTTCATCACTCACTGATTAATAATTATAAAGAGTCACCTCTGGTCCAAGTGCTGCTTTGATCGGGTGATAAATTGCTGATACTAAACAACCATATGAACAAATTATGAGGAATTGTGCACTTTTTGAAAAAAGCATGAAATTTCTACCATAGTTTGTACATACCATAAGGTTTATTTTCAGATTTGGAGGGAAGCCAGATTTGACCTCTGAGGCCCGGGAGAGGTCAAATTCAAGATGACCACCAATAATATTCAAATATGCTTAACTTTGGAACCAAACACAATAGAAAAATATTTAAGGTGTCATTTCCAAATAGGTTTAGGGTGCCCATTAAGTTAGTGATACCTTTGAGATCAGTGGAATTCAAGAAAATGCATTTAGGTCAAGGTAAAAATTTGCTTTAAAAAAAACATTTTCCCCTCTTTTTTTTCCCTTTTTTTATGAACCCCAAAACATATTTCAATTACTTTTTACTCTCCTGTATTATTCAGTAATTAGTTAGTATTTACTGGAATGTGTGGTTATTTTTTCGTGCTAAGCAGCGATGTAGTCAGTAGGCAACATGATGAGTAGGCTACAGTATGCAGACGAGACAGAGAGCACTTCTGACATAAATATCCTACCAGGTAAACTGACTGGCTATGAACAGACAATATAAGTATATTTGGGTAAAGCCTTAACATGTGTTGGGAATAGAATGATTTTATGTGTTTTACTATAAGTTGTGTTTCACTATATAAGTTTTAGATGTGTGAACAATGAGAATACTGAGATGATTTCAGCTGATCTGAATGTGTTTGCTTTGCAGAAGTGGAGAAGTACAGGAGAGGAAGAGACATGAAGTCTGAGGAGCACATACCGCAATGCTTAGATAATTAGTTTCATATATGGTAAAAAGAATAGAAAGTGATATACAGATAGTAAGGTACAGCACATGTAGGGAGTTGTGTTGTTCTCTTGTCTTTCAAAACAGGAACCACGCCCCCACCGCCAGCAGGAAGGAGTCAGATAAACACGAGGCAGGGGCGTGGTGTGGTGAAGGAGGAAGTGGAACTGCCAATGAGAAGAGGGCAACGCCTTGCGTGCACAATGACACTCTGTTACGCTCAAATATACTGGGTCAGGGAAAGGACAGGACACCTTTGTTGTTCGTCAGGGACGTGAAGTTGAGACCCAGAGCTCTGTAATTTTATTCCTTTACTGCTTAATAAACTACATTAACTGAGACCGAATATCTTCTCCTATTGCTTCATTAAAGAACACGCAGGACTGAGCTCACACATAGCACATTGGAGAGTAGGATGAGACTCTTAGTCCAACACTTGCAAATGCATTGAATTTGACAAATTATATTGAATTTGAAAAAAATAAATAAATAAATGGCGGGCACTGATCAAAATAATTCTGCTAGCTAAAATAGAAGACAGTCTGGAAAATGCATGAGCTGAAGTCAGTTGAATGATTGAACAGCGTATGTTCTAGAGATTGTGTTTGGTTCCAAAGTTAAGCATATTTGAATATTATTGGTGGCCATCTTGAATTTGACCTCTCCCGGGCCTCAGAGGTCAAATCTCACTTCCCTCCACATCTGAAAATAAACCTTATGGCATGTACAAACTATGGTAGAAATGTCATGCTTTTTCAAAAAGCGCACCATTTATCTGCTAATCCGCTGTACTATTGTTGGATTATTACATATGATGCTTTCAGGTGAAAGACACATTTTAATGTTGTAGCTGAGGAGGTTATTTTAACTTCTTTGTACACTGTTAGTTTAACAATAGCAATGTGCCAGACTCTACTCTATGCATATGTCATTTATGTAAAAGACTAACCTGTGATGCAACTGGCATGGGCGGATTATGAGACAACCTCAACCTCTCCTACACAGGAGCAAGACACACAGACTTTGTGGTGTCTCTTTGACGGCCATTTTGTGTCTTTTCTGGTTGTTTGTGTCTCTGTGGTTGCCTTATGTCTCTTCGAGGCCATTTTGTTTCTCTTTGAGGTCATTTTGTGTGTTTTTGTGGTTGTTTTGTGTCACTTTTAGGTCATTTTGTGTCTCTTTGTGGTCATTTTGTCTCTTTTAGGTCATTTTGTGTCTCTTTGTGGTCTTTGTATGTCTTTTGTGCTTGTTTTGTGTCTCTGTGGTTGTCTTATGTTTCTTCTAGTCAATTTTGTGTCTCTTTGTGGCTGTTTTGTGTCTCTTTGACATCATTTTGTGTCTTTTAGGTAGTTCTGTGTCTCTTTGTGGTAATTTTGTGTGTTTTTGTGGTTGTTTTGTGTCTCTTTGTGGTCATTTTTTGTCTCTTTTAGGTCATTTTGTGTCCCTTTGTGGTCGTCGTATGTCTTTTGTGCTTGTTTTGTGTCTCTGTGGTTGTCTTATGTCTCTTCGAGTCCATTTTGTGTCTCTTTGTGGCTGTTTTGTGTCTCTTTGGCATCATTTTGTGTCTTTTAGGTAGTTCTGTGTCTCTTTGAGGTCATTTTGTGTCTCTTTGACATCATTTTGTGTTTTTTAGGTAGTTATGTGTCTCTTTGAGGTCATTTTGTGTCTCTTTGTGGTCGTTGTATGTCTTTTGTGCTTGTTTTGTGTCTCTGTGGTTGTCTTATGTCTCTTCTAGTTAATTTTGTGTCTCTTTGTGGCTGTTTTGTGTCTCTTTTGCGTCATTTGTGTCTTTTAGGTAGTTATGTGTCTCTTTGTGGCTGTTTTGTGTCTCTTTGAGGTCATTTTGTGTCTTTTGTGGTTGTTCTGCCCCTTTCTGTAGTTATTTTGTGTGACTTTGCAGTTGCATTGCATCTGTTTGCGGTCTTCTTGTGTGCTTTTGTGGTTTTAAATCACTTCGTGGTTGGTGTTCGTTGATTTTGGTGATATTTTGCAGATGAAGACCAGGAGGGGACCTCTGACACTTTAGGGCCCCTGGGCTTTTGTGCAGTAGGACCCTTGAGTAATTCATCCAAGGAAACTAGAAGTAAACTAGATTAAAAAAATATATATATACAATATTTCTCTCTGAGACAACTAGAAATATGGAAATACTCAAGTATAAGTATCTCAAAATTGAATATAACATAAGCAATTTATTTAGTTTGTTTCCACCACTAAAATATATAAAAAGCACATTTTAATGACATGAAGTAAACTTGAGTAATTCAGGTAAGACTGTTGGGTCATGACTGATTTAATTTTGCAAGAACATCTAAATGTCACCCTTCCATGATAAATTTTCTCCAGTGGGCAGCGCACCAACATTTCATAAAATTCTCAAGATGAAGTTGTACAAAGTTGCAATGATTTATTACCTATTCATAAAAGAGTACCTGGTCTCAAATGCTGGAACAGAAACCAAAACAGACCTGTTACCAAACATGACTACCGGGACAAAGTCCAGCCTTTGTAATTGTTTATAACTCAGTTATGTGGGGTCAGATCTTTTTATCTTTGCTCCGATTCACAGATTAATTTATTCCACCATTAAGGACAGAGACAGAGAGTCTGCAAACATTGATGATCTAAGTTTCACACAGGTACACATACAGAGGGGCCATAAAAGCCTCACTATTACACAACCAGCTCTTATTAAAGCAACAGAAGCCCCTCCTCGACCGTAGTCTATGTGTGCCTCTTTAACAGCTTTCGTCCCAGAGTGCACATTAAACGGTATGTTGAAGGCTTCCTTATCCAACTGGCTTTAAGAATGAATTATCAACATGCAGTCCAAAGCTGCTAAACAAACATGCTTTTTTTTGTTTATAATGTGTGTTTTAATTTATAATACTTGTATTTTTAGATTACTTTTCCACAATGGCAAAACACAACATCAGCCTTTTGATTGCTATAGTGCTGGCATTGCTCTTCTTCATCATCACTATGGTGTTCACTGCTCTGGCAGCGTCGGGAATACGTAAGTCCAAGATTAATGCATCATTTTGTGATATAGCTATTCACTATACAACTGTATGAATAACGCTGCATCCTTTGACCTTGTCAAAATAAGTTTAGAAAATAATTTTGCATCTGTTCAGCTCTGATTTTTGTAATATGTATTTCAAAGATCCGTTTTTGGAGTCCACCGGTAACATCTCAGATGAGTTTCTAACCGAGATCACACCAGCAGGATGGACCTTTACCATCTGGTCGATCATTTACATCTTTCTGGCTCTAGTGTTGGTCTATGTCCTCTCTGGCATTTTTAGGAAGTGAGAACCTAAATTTAATTTTCATGGTTATCTTTGTCTCCTTGGTTGTACCTGGTTTGGTGACCTAAACATTTTCCCCTCTGTGATTTTCTTTCTTTAGGAACGCATATGGTTACGTCTACTGCAGCCCGCCTATTTTGCCACGTGCATTTTTTGCAGTTTGGTGCTTGAATCTGGCCTCGAATACTGCATGGTTGTTCCTGTGGGACAGAAAGTGAGAAAGGACCTTTTCTTCATTTACTGCAGTTTATTTCATAGTCATGAGAAAACCATGTTTGATTAGTTGTTACAAGCAAACAAACTGGCTGTAAGCGCATGACTGAGCATGCAGAAAAACAACACAGGCTGAGTCTCGATTCCACTGGCTCCCAACCTGGGGGTCCCAAACTCCACTGGAGGTCACCAAAGCTTGGTTGTTCTATATTGTATTTAGCATGAAATGTCCATAAAATAGCTCACTTAGTCAAGGGTCACCAGTTTACTCACTGATAGAAAAGGGGACTCCACCTAAATTAAGAATCCCAACATTTTATGTCTATGGCCTATATAGTTCGATCAACATGAGCTTCTTTCTGTAATAGTGAGAAATCAGCGAGGTAAGTCTCAAACTTGTGATGTCATCAAGTATAGAGTCTGGAGCTCCATAGACAGTGATTATGAGGCTGATTTTGTGGAGCCACAGGATGTGGCACCATATAGTCAGAAGTGCTCTCAGTGTCATCTGGAACCATTCATTGCCCGTGGAGCATCTCCAGATTTTATACCCTATCCATCACAATTTTGAATTCTAGCACTCTAATTTTGGGATTTTGAAGAGAGTTGTTCATGTTTACTGATATTTTTGTAAAGTCTTAGTTCATAGAAAAATGGGTGTAGTTCCCCTTTAAGAAGAAAGCTCGGGAACCACTGCTCTAGTCAACCCGACGTTCGTGTCTTTGAATGTGGGAGGAAACAGGAAGAAAACCGTAAGGTCATAGGGTTAAATATGGGTCATCACCTAAAACTGATAAGATCACAGAGGCATGACTGCATAGAGAACAAATTTAGTGACAATGTGGAGGAATTTTGGGAGGATACTGTATATTTCAGACATACAGCTACTGTAAACAGATGTGTCATTCTGTTTCTCCACATTGGAATATTACTTTTATTTGTATATATTTGTTATCTGTTTCTTGGAATTGTATTTATACCTAATCTAGCTGTTTTTCCTGATTTGAGTGAAGGGTCTATGTTGTACAGATTATAAAGCCTTAAGAGGCAAATTTGTGGTGTTTGATTTTAGGCTATGAAAACAGTAGGAAATCCACAGAAGTCACATGCTGCATGTGACTTGATAACACCAAGACTGAAATGATTACATTTTCTGGCATACCATTTTCCTGCAGGCATGATCACTGTGATAAAATATACATTATTCTATTTCTCATCCTCACAGGTTGATGCTTATTGCACTGGTTTTCCTCATCCTCATCGCCTTGACCAACTACGCGATGATAATCTTCTCCTGCCACGGTCTGCACAGCTATGGCGCCTGGCTCAACAAGTACCACAAAGTAGACCTGTGACTTCACCGTGTGTTGGTGAGTTTGGCTGCTCAACTGCAACTTGTGTCCATCACCAACTCTGCACATGTCTCTGCATTACAGTCGTGTCTGTTGTCTCTGACAGGTTCAGAATGGTGTCGCCATATATACAACATGGACAACCGTTGCATCCATCATTAACCTGGCCATCGTGCTGACTAAAGATGCAAACATGTACCCAACGGATGCTGCCACCGCCGCGCTGGCTGTTTTGGCTGCAGTGTTGTTTGTGTGGTACGTGCAAAGGAGAAAATTCTGCATTACCTTTAATAAGTTTGTTAAAAAACATGTCTGGAGCAAATGTGTTGTATGTCTCGCAGGTTCATGCTGGAAAACTTTGTCCTTGACAAACACGTGAGGTACATTATCACCACTTACCTCGTTGTGATCTGGGCGCTGACAGGGGTGTTCATGAAGAAACAGGATGCTGTAATTTCTACTGTCAATAGCAACTTCATTGGTGAGGAACTACTTCATGTCTTATTACACAACTCTACAAATATTGCATGGACTGTGAATGATCAGTTCAGGGTTCCCCACCAGTATGCACACTTTAATACTTCCCTCTGACATTTATCTCTCCACTATAGATGGACTGTTGGGTGTAGCCTGTACCTTGTTTGGTGGACGCATGTTTTTGGTCATCTGGAGGCACATTAAATTTCCATTTTATGAAGACATCAACGTAGACAACATGTCTCCCATGGAGGTCACTGAGAAGCAGAAGAAGATATTTATGTAAGACTGTTGAAGGAATATTTTAATGAAAAACCTTTCTGTCTCACTTAATTGTCAGTACATTGTGTACTCAAACTGCACTGAGTCGTAATAGTGTGCTAAAATTTTTCACATAAATATGAAAATAGATGGTTAATATTTGTTTTTATTCATGTGTTTTAACTTTTATTTTGTACAATGTTAAAAATAAAACATTGCTTGCTCTCAATTTTACACTTCTGTGGAATGATTTGTTTTCTTCATTGAACTCCTCTAAAACATGAGCCTTGCGCCATATAAATGTAACGATATACTGTGTTTAAGTGGCTTTAGTTGTCCACGGATCTCCCCGCTTGATCCACAGCCATCTTGACGCCTTTTCTGCGGCGTCAGTGATGTTCTTGATGGCTCTCCTTGTGTGCAGTCCCTTCACTCCCAGCCTCTTGAGTGCCCTAATGAAAGACTGGCAGACGAATCCCCTGCATCCAACCTCGATAGGGTTGCATCGGGTCCGCCATCCCCTGCTTTGGCACTCGTCTGCCAGCTCCTTATATTTGGCCCTCTTCCTTTCAAAGGCCTCCTCCGTCCGGTCTTCCCAGGGAACAGTCAACTCCAGCAGGACCACTTGTCTTCATGTTTCTGACACCAGCACCATATCTGGCCTGAGTGTGGTCTCTGCGATGTTCTCTGGGAATTTAAGCTGTCTCCCCAGGTCGAGCTTCAGCTGCCAGTCCCGAGCTGTTGCCCCCCTTCTCTTGTAAGGACTGAAAACAACACAATGGAAATAGATTAAAAAATACAGAAAGTGCAAACTGTTGGTTATTGTCCATGCACAGGCGTAGATTTCAGGGGGGATGCGGGGGACATGTCCACCCTCAATATTTGGAGCATGTGCATTTGTCTCCCACAATAAAAACATGAAGTAAGTAAGTAAGTAAATTTATTTATATAGCACTTCTCACAGAGAGGACTCACAAAGTGCTTCACAAGATAAAATACAAAAAATACAATAACAAACAATGCAAAATACACGAAAACAAATATAAAGTAAAGTGCAGCGAAATACAGAGATGATACAATGGACAATTAATGGAACGCAAGCCTAAACAGATGTGTTTTTAACTGCTTTTTAAAAATGTCCACGGAAGAGGCCGCTCTCAGCTCATGAGGTAGTGCATTCCACCATTTCGGTGCAACAGCCTTAAAGGCTCTATCACCTTTCGTCTTTAATCTTGTGTGAGGGACAGTAAGTAGGTGGCCTTCAGCGGACCGCAGTGACCTGACAGGACAGTGAAAGGACACCAGATCCGTCAAGTATGCAGGTGCTTGACCATGGAGGGCTCTGTAAGTGATGGTTAGAATCTTGTGCTGGATCCTGAAATTAACAGGGAGCCAGTGCAGGGATGCCAGGACTGGAGTGATGTGAGTGAACTTATGAGATCTGGACAGAAGCCTGGCGGCAGCGTTCTGGACCAGCTGGAGGCAGTCTAATGAAGTTTTATTTAGACAGGTGAAAAGAGAATTACAGTAATCCAGACATGAGGAAATAAAAGCATGGATGATCATTTCTAGCTTGGAATAAGTTAACATGGATCTGAGTTTGGAAATGTTTTTGAGGTGGAAAAAGCAGGAGCGAGTGACAGTTTTGATGTGGTCATCGAAGAGCATGGCCTGATCAAATGTGACCCCAAGGTTTCTCAACTTGGGGCGCACATTTGCACTGAGGGACCCTAAGCAGCTGGCCACTTTAGATACTGAGGCATCAGGTGCAATAATTAAAATCTCAGTTTTAGCTGCGTTCAGCTGAAGGGAGTAAGAAGACATCCAGTCCTTAATTACATTCATACAATCGTACAGTGAGTCAATTCCATCGGTCCTATCAGGCTTAAAAGAAAAATATAACTGAAGGTCATCTGCATACATATGGTATGAGATACCTTCAAAATTGCTGATGACATCTCTGAGAGGGAGCATGTATAGCGTAAAAGAGGATAGGCCCAAGCACTGAACCTTGGGGCACCCCGCAAGAAAGGGGGGCAAACTCTGATTTATGAGGGCCAACAGCCACAGAAAAGGATCGATCAGACAGATAGGATTTAAACCAATGAAGAGCGGTCCCTGAGATTCCTACCCTGTCCCTCAGCCTGTCTAAAAGGATGTGGTGATCAACAGTGTCAAAGGCTGCACTGAGATCAAGCAGAACCAGGATAGTGGATTTACCGGCATCGGAGGCCATCATGATGTCATTGGAGACCCTGAGAAGAGCAGTTTCTGTGGAATGTAACTGACGATAACCGGACTGAAATTTATCTAAGATATTGTAACTGTTCAACGCTGTCACTTACTGGTTTGCAACTGCTTTTTCTAGAATCTTAGATACAAAGGGCAGCTTGGAAATGGGCCGGTAGTTACTAAGAACTTTGGGGTCCAGATTGGGCTTTTTGAGAAGTGGCTGAACAACCGCTTGCTTGAAATGGGACGGGACACGACCAGAAACCAGTGAGCTATTGATTATGGAGAGCAGAGATGGACCAATAGTGCTGAAAACATTTTTCAGCAAAGTTGTGGGCAGGATATCCAGCGGACTAGAAGAGATCTTCATAGTGCACACAACATCTGCTAAGTCTTGTAAGGAGACAGGTGAGAAACTGTCAATAATTGACTGTTGTTTGGGAGGATCAGGAAGGGAGGAGGAGGAGGGTGTTATACTGGCCTTGACACTGGCAACCTTATTCACAAAATACATAAAAAAATTGCTACAGTCCTCATCAGAGGTACAAGAGGACTTTTTGAGAAAACTAAGGACATCCATCCATCCATTTTCGGACGCTTATGTGGGGCCGGGTCACAGGCACAGCAGGCTAAGCAAAGCACCCCAGATGTCCCCCCAGAAACAGTTTCAAGCTCCTCCTGGGGGACCCCAAGGTGTTCCCAGACCAGATGAGCGTGTTCTGGGTCTGCTGTGGGGCCTCATCCAAACTGAAGACATTGACACCATAAATTGATGCAGAGGAAAGGCACAAATTGGTGCATAAAAAATAAAAAAAAATAAGAGTTTAATGCTCAAAATGTCATATATTTCCCCCCCAATGTTAAAGCGAAACCTCCACCCTCGTGTCCATGTTTGTTTTGGTACAAGCACACGCGACAGTTGGCCCTCAGGCTGGATCTGCGGTGTCATTCAGGGTGTCTAGTGTTTTTATGCAATCAGAAGGTTTTGCTCTGTCCTGACTGTCAAAGAAAAAAAAATTGTGCAAGTTCTTGTGTGGACTTTGTACTTACAGGAACTATAAAGTCAGATCCTGCCTAATACTGAGAAAGCATTGATGAAATCACCTGTTCTACGTCTAATTTAAAGCACTGTCAGATAAAAGTGGCTCAATTCATGGTGAGACGAATAGCCACAAAAACAAGGATTACTTTTTAGGGTTGAACTTGATGTCTCCATCTCACTTAACAAGAAAATTAGATTTTTAGGCTTTCGTATCCCAGCATGATTTCAAATGTTTGTTTTTAGGGTGAATAAACTGTTATTCATTTGTGAGTAACCTACATGAATGCATTTCATTACTATAGATCATATAGGGGGCAACAGTTTGTCAGTCGTTTATTATTCTCTGCACTATGGCAGAAATGTATACAAGATAAGAGGTGCACGTGATGCTCCGAGTGGTCGTAAAACTCGCTCTTACACAACTGGCTATTGTATAAAAAAGGCAGCGCCCCGTCCTCCTCCTCACACTGATGACTCAGCTCACACACAGACAGGCAAAGAAAGGTATGGTGTGTCTTGTTTGGCATTATCGTGTCATTGTCATGTGGGCACTCTTTTTGATTTGCTACCACAGTTTTATTATCCTGGAGGAAGCTCAGCGTGCAGCAGTGGCACGTGGACCTTAGTTTTGATGCCCAATTTAAGTTGTTGATATTTGTATTTTGAAAATATTGTAGCCAGAATAACAGACGTTTTAAGAATATTTTTGTGGTGGCAGTCTTCACAAAAGACAGCTGGTAGTTTCTGAGAATGACACAACTTTATTCTGATTATCATCACTGTCTTGCAAAGGTCAGAGGTCAGGTTCAAATGCAGGCCACCGGCAGTAACAGGAAGGGATAACATATCTCCATCAAGGACACATTTCTTCAAGCAAAACACTATTTGCTCTTCAGTAAAAACCACCACAATGTGCCAAATAATTATTCTGTAAATATAAAGCCATTGAATTCCTTTGATCTATGTGGTTATGTGCAAATGTTTTAAAAATAATTTCTGTTTTTTGCTTTTATTCATCACAGTAGACCACAATGGCAAAACATAATCCTGGACGCCTCGCTGCGATAGTGGTGTCTGTTGTCGGCTTTGCAATAAGCTTGGTGTTCAACGGGCTGTCAGTCGTTGGAGTTGGTAAGTCAAAGCTTGACTTTATGTATGATTGTGATGGGAATGTAAAGCTGTTGGGAAATCACAAATATTAGTTTAACGTGTTGCATTCCTCTCCGTTCTCACTCATTATTTGCATTCTTCTCTCGAGGTCCTTATGATACCACCACAGCCAACGTGTCTGCAGTGTTTGACACCCAGATCACACCTTCAGGATGGACTTTCAACATCTGGAGCGTCATCTACATCTGGCTGACAGCGATGATTGTATACATCGTAGCGGGACTTTGCAGAAAGTTGGGGCCAACTTTTTTAATTCTCTTGTTCAAAAACTTACTGTGTGTTTTCCCTTGTTTTGGGGGGAGGGGATACCAGATATGAGACAAATTTAGGATGCATCATCAGCTGTAAGAGCCACAGAAAAGAACAGCAGCCTAAATTAACAATCTTTTTTTGTAGGAATGGTTATGGCTACGTTTACTGCAGCCCTGCAGTGCTGCCTTATGGATTCTTCATTAGCTGGTGCGTCAATCTTTGTTTCAATATTGGCTGGCTGATCGTTTGGGACAGAGGGTAAGAGTTTCCAGTGGCCCCTGTGGTTATTCTTTGTAAATTAAGCAACCTAATTTAAAATGTCATACATCAGTTCATAATTAAATGTGTGTCTTTCTGCTCGACCAAAGAGATATGATTGCTGCACTGGTTTTTCTCGTCTTGGTCATCTGCACAAACTACTCCATGATATTTTTCGTCTGCCATGGACTCCATGTTTATGGAGCCTGGCTAAAAAAATACCACAAAGCAGACCTGTGGCTCCTGCGTGTGCTGGTTAGTATGACAAGTGTGAATGCCCCAGGTTACATGAGCCTATTCCATGCACATGAAGTTAAAATAATGTGCTTTAAGTGCACACTGTTTCAACTAAAAACCTCTTTAATGCCACATTTGCAGGTTCAGAACGGAGTGATGATCTACACAACATGGACAACCATTGCAACACTAATCAACTTGACCATCGTTCTGACTTATAATGTAGAGATGTCGCCAACGGATGCAGCCACTATCTCGTACTCCCTTTTGGCTGTCGTGTTGCTTATGTGGTCAGTGCTCGTCACTACAAAAACACTAATAAAAGAGGGAATGTGAAAAATCATTACTGCAATTCTGAAGCAAATGTGTTTGTGCTGCGTGCTTCACAGGTTTGTGTTGGAAAACTTTGTCCTTGACAAACACGTGCGGTACATCCTCGTCATCTACCCGGTTGTGATCTGGGCGCTGTCTGGAAACCTGGACAAAAACTTTGATGCAGAATCACCCAACCGCAATGGCATCTTCATTGGTGAGACACTGGATTAATAAGTGATAAAAGTGTTGTAATCACAACAGTCTACATCCCATTATCTCTGAAACATGATGGACAGCAAAACACAATATTGATGGAAAAAATGCTGTGACTTTTCAGTAATTACATCCATTGCAAAGCAAATAAAATGTTGCCCTAATGCCTTCAATGTATGAGGAAATCTGTTTAAAGTTGTACTAACTGGGTTTTCTTCTCTTAGCTGTGCTGCTGGCTTTAGCCTGTGCGTTGTTCGTCATTCGGATTGTTTTGGTGGTTTGGAAACACATCAAACAGCCCCTCTACGCAGACGCCAGTCCTGAAGCCATGGAGCCGACGCAGATTGCTGAAAAGCAGAAGAAGATATTCCGCTAAGCATTTTTATGATATAAGACACTGACACTTGATGATGTCATGTATGCCAGAAGACAGCTGTGCAGGTGTTTGGCATTGCTCTGTTGATAATCATGGGAACAAATGTTTTATTTTGTAAATTCTAATAAATTTTTTATCAAATTCTGATTGCATAACGTGTGATTTAAAATGCACTTTTGCATAATTTGCATAATTAAATAATTAGCAATATGCTTTTCAACTTTGACTGACTGATCTCTGAACTTTTTATGGCTTTTTTGTAACATACTGATTGCTAACGTGACACATTAGGCTCTGATAAGGAGACTGTTAAAACACCACACGGAGGCGGAGGGACAACACTGTAGTCAGCCACCTTTGTATGTATATAACATTTCCCATGGTTTATTAAATGTTAGTTTTATTTCAAAAACCAATTTATGCTCCAACAGTTTCCTCACCTTGACATATTTATTTGGATTGAAGCATGCAATTCATCATGCATGATACCAACTGTTTTATCATTTCAGCAGCACTGATGATGAACAAGAATATCATAATTCAAGTAGCTATATACAAGGCCTACTACTCCAGAAATCCAAACATCATAGACATTATCAAATATCATGAAAAGTAAGTGTTATTTTATACTGTGTTTGGGTTAAAATCTTTTTCAGAGTATGTTGGGTACAAAAGCTCATTGATCATGCAAAACATATACTATTTGAATTCTTAATATAATATAATTTCAAGTATGTTTAATTATCTGAATTATCTCAGTAACTATAGCAATATTTTGTAGATTTTAAATCATTTTTGTTAGATTTAACTATGATTGACCTGTAGAGGGCAGCAAGGTGAAGCTCTAGCTGTGAGCTCAGGCTACCGGAACAAAAATGTAGAAGAAGAACACCCTTCTCTTTCTGTGTTCCCTTGTCTGTGTCGCCCTGAGCATAGTCTTTCAGGCAGCAAGTTCATGGCAATCCAAGGCTTTGTTCACCCGCAATACGCTCAATCAGTCAGATAGTTGCTTTTATGGTTTACTTTTAATACACTCGAGATTATGTTGGAGTTTAAAGCGCAGACTGCGGATTAGCGTCCGCCAAAGCTCCAATAGTGTTGCCTGGGGAGCCAAACTCAGGGCAAAATGTCCCCAACTTTTCCGAGACGGCGGGTCAATTACAAATTGTCAACAGCGCCATTGTTTTGCTAACGCTAACGCTGGTTATCATTTCTCAACAGCTGGCTCACCAGCTTTATATGTTATAAATGTTTATACATAATATTAGATTACCTTGTCGTTCCTGACTTTATTTTTAAAGGGTGGATACACATAAATGCGTCCCGGAAGCAAACCTTGAAAGAGCAGTTATTGAAAACAAAATGATAGCTAACTAACTGCTAGCTTCGGTCTCGCTGTCGACTAACGGCGCCGTTAAAAGACAGACACACTAGATCACATAAATGGAGACAAATTACGCTACTTTGGTAAGTTTGAGTTTCTGTTTTCTTTTGTGCTATTGAGGAAAGGGGGCTGAGCGAACATGTTAGTCAACGACAACGGCGGGAGGAAGGGGCTGCTAGTCTGCGACAAATAGTGTTACGGTAACGATAACGTTAGTTGGCTAAAAACAATCCAACCGCCATGAAATAAATCCCAAACCTTCATGAACATAGTGTTCAGTTTATGTTGGAAAAGTTTCACCTTCATCATCGTTTTGGAGGCTGCACATTGCGATGCTGTTAAATGGTATTACGTAAAACTGAGAGCTGTTTCTAATATTTTGTCCACTCTGTGTCGTTACAACAATGATTGTTGCATTACGTATATTACGGTAAAGGTAGTCGTGACTTCGTATATCTGATAAACTGAGTGTGATATTTAAGTGATGTTAGCTGGTAATTTCTCATTTAAAAAGTGACCAAATTACAGTCGTCTCTGGTAACTTTCTCCACATCATGTGTCTGTTTACAGAGGAGACCAAAGAGGAAACTCTGCTACCTCACAAACAAGGAAAGGTAAGTTATTCAGTTTGCTTTGTTTGTTCAATCCTGAAACAAGACAACTGAAACTTGGGGTTTCTGCAAAAAAATTTTTACAAACTATTTGTCACGAACGATGGGTGTGAGAAAATGTCAATACATTAGTATAGCAGTGTTATGTATTGTGATACTGTATTGATTCCCCAAACTCTATCTATTTTTAAATGTTTACAAGAAAAAAATTGTGGCAGTGGTTCATTTGTGTTGCATTTAAACCCCCAACTGCTAGATCCTTCAGTGTTGTAATTTATCTTCAGACATTTGACTTCTTCCATACAACATATCACTAGCGCAAACACAAAGAACATAGGCCTATGAAACAGGCAGTCAAAAAGAGAGCTGACATTGACCGTTTCCGTAAAATTAGATTTAAATAAAATCCCAGTTCATTGCCTATCGCGGTGTATTGAATTGTAACCGCTGCGTCATGATTCCTATGGCATCACCAGATTTTGCCAATATTTGCCTGTTTGTCTGTCACAAATAATATATATGTTACGTGTTGTTTTTTTCTGTAACTTTTTTTTTTTGGAGTTTAAATATTTTGTATAACCTGATCTTTGTGTTTTCAGTGCACCAGAATGGACAGCACCGCAGACATTGGAAGAGATCGATAAGCTGTTCGATGACTTGGGTGAGTTGAGAGTGTAATTGCTTCATTTTACTATTTTGCAGTTTGTTTTGCATTTTCATCATGTTAAACTATACTTGACTATCTTTTCAGATCCATCATCACATATTATTGATGACCTATCACACCCATGTCCTCTGCTCCAGACCTTTGATATGGAGTGTGAGAGAATAGCTTCGCCAGTCCCACAGGAAGTACACTTAAAGGAAGAACTTCCAAAATGTCAAACGGTAATGTTCAGGCAAAATATCTTGAATATCTGAGATGCAGTTTGATGTCTCGTTGGATGTAGCAGGCAATGGTTGATTTTAACATGCAGAGGTGCTTGCTGAGTGTTGTGTTATTGTTACTGATAAGCAGCTGTTCACTGCTATGTCCTCACATGGGAAAGTCTTGATGAGCCAGTCGTTAAAATTTTTTTTGTTTGTCACATGCTCAACATATCTCTACGTTGTGCAGTAGTTACACAACATTCTTTTTTCTGTTTTTACATTGATTTTACTGTCTGTCAGGCAGTCACAAAATTTCCAAGACACATTGGCATGATGTGGGATGAAATATCCACACTGTGCCTGAATGCTGCAGCTCAGCTAGTGAAACAGAGGTTTTCCACTTTCTGGTTATGTGCTTGTTTATACTCAGCAGCTGTATATGGGCTTTGTGCACCTTTCTTTCATCAGGCAAGATCTGATCCCCCATAGATGTGCTTTTATAATGTATATTTTATAACTCATTAGGATCCTGAGGGAGAGGCACTGTATCCTGCAACAAGCTCACCCAGTCCTAAACTAGACATCGGTAAGAGACTCCAGCCTTGGTCTTTTAAAATCCACGCACAGTAAATATTGTGTCACTCATCCTTTGCTCTTTTTTTTACAGCAAAGTTTTTCTTGTTAAAGGATGCTTCATTTTTTTTGTTGCAGATTTGGACATCCCATTCGAAGCACATGGGCCAATGAAGACATCCAGTCCTATTGAAGACAATATGGTGGTGGAACATGTAGAAGAGCTGGACAATGAAAAACACCGGGTTGTGTCCCCAGTTCTCTTCGCGTGTGAGGATGATGAAAAGGAAGAGGCAAATACAGAGCCTCAACCCATCCAGGAACCCCAGTGCAACGGGCACGTCGAAGAGGAGTAAGTAATTATTAATACATTTCATGAAGGAAATAAGATGTTTGTATGAAGTGCAGGAGTCTATTGTCGACACTAACATCAGGAGCAAGTATGTTTTTACTTGTTAACTGACAGCATGTTTCTTTCTTGTAGACCTGAGTTGGAGTCTCCTCCAAGTAAGGTCCTTCTTAGCAAACCTGAGAGGTCAAGTCGCAAAAACAAAGTGGAGGGATCGCGGTAAGAGCCTCTCTAATTCTCAAAGTTATGATAAGCTGGCTGCAAGCACACAAACAGTCCGTCAGCACCTGATGGATTGCAATACAGAACACAAATAGCGATAGCAGTGTGAAGGGTTCCTAATTGTGTTTTGATGTTTGACCTTTATTTTCTCTGATACCTGTATTACTCATTTGGATGTTTACATTATTAGATTTTTTACTTGGGTGCATGTGATGAATATTTACTTTTTGCAGCAGCAGCAAAGAGAGTCATCCAGTCAAAGAAAAAACAACCAAGAAACCTCAAACACCTGTTTTGGAGGGCAAAAGAAAAACACCAAGGTAAGAAGTGATGACTTTTTAATGTGTAGTTGCAGTTATTTTTGTGCTTTCATTTTAGATCCGGTGATCTCACAATACTGGATATCTGGCGCCAATATTTATATCAGCATTTATTACCTGGTGGTAAAGGTGGTAAAACTAAAAATGAAAGGCAATCCCAGATTCAAGCGTGTTCACTATATTTGCACTTTTTCAACGCTGTGTCAGCAGTTTTCATTACCTCTTTTTGGATATCTGCTGTTTACAGTCTGGCACCTGGTCGCTATTTTTATAGAAAAGTTGATCTGACTAGCATGCTGTGCTCAGGAACTTCTCAAGCTCAGCAAAATAAGAATTGAATAAGGAAATACGGGCAGAGGGCAGAGTCTGTACATATAAATACACCACCACACATTTGTATTGGGTCATAAGTGATGGCTGAGAGTGGTTCCTTTGAAATTTCTTTGCTTATACATTGTTTTTTTAGGAAAATCCTGCGTAGTTTAGATGTATTATTTTCACACTGTGTACGCATGCCACATGCATTGTATAAGTAACCTGTGGCAGAATGTAAGAAACGCATAGTTATAATATATTGTTGTATAACAGTAACCTAACTGGAAATTACATTATTATTAATACCTTTAGGGTAAAATGACATTTATTTTTACTTTTGTTTACTCCCAGGCAAGAAAATGTTGACCCATCTGTGTCAGTGGAGAGACAGGAGCCTGAACTCGCAGTTCCTAAAAAAGATTCAAAACGTGTTAACATGCAGCCGTCAGTGGAGCTCAACCGTGTGGAAAAGGACATGACCGCTTTCCTTAAGAAGCTTAGGGACTCTGCACAGCCCAGACCTGCATGGTGAGTTGAGATAAGAGTACACCTTAATGTATTTTGTAACTATGGTGTCTTCCTATTGAAAAATTGAAAATACCAAAATGTGTTTACAAAGTAACCGCTGGTTTACTTCAACATAAAAACATAAAATCATTTATTTAACTTTTTTTGTAGTTCCAGGAAGTCTGTGTCACCAGTGAAAGTGCCCACTCCTCTTCCTGAGCCAGACGATGATTTCCTGATCCTGGAAGATGACAGACCTCTTTGGTTTTCCATTCCAAGTAAGACTGCCACCAGCAAGAAACAGAGACAGAGCAAAACATCCAGCACCGACAGAGACAGCTCGACAGACAGGGGCACGAAGGAGAGCCCACTGGAGACTGCACAGACACAGCAGGAATCTGAACAGGCGAACAGCAAAGTGGGAAGTCAGACTGTCAGTCAGAAAACAAAGAAGATGAAGGGGAAAGAGAAGAACAAGGAGGTGACCGAGCCTGGAAATGATGAGGAGGAATTGCCCAGGCCGGAGGATCTTCCTGCGGGTGACTTGAGGGAAGAAGAGAAACCAAACAAAAAGAAACGACTGAAGAAGGTACCATCTAAAGAAAGAGACAAGGAAGAGGAGCAGCCTAAAGACACAGCCAGCAGGAAAACAGATGAAGAAAAACCCACTCTGAAAAGGGAAAAGAAAGCTCAGAAGTCTTCTGATGTTAAAAGATCCAAGTCTGTAAAAGATGGGAATGAAAATGCCAAGACAAGCAGGTCAAAGTCATTAAAGGGGGGCAGAAAAGTGACGCAGGGATCTGATGCGGTAAAGGAGACGATGTATACAGAGGCTGGGAAGGAACAAAGTCAAAGCATGGAGGAGCACGCAGATGCTGAAGACCTGGGTCCTCTTTCAGGTAAGGGCCTCCTATGTGTTGACGTTGAATCTTTCTGTGAGTCATAATTACAGGTCAGTCAGTGTAAATGTCTCTAAATGTAAATGCTGCTGTTGTAAATCCCAAGTGTTGATAGATTACATCAACATTTGGGAATAGAACAACTGTTTTAAAGCTGGAAAAAGAAGTTACTTTGAGCATCTCCTTGAACATCTATACAGCATTATACATTTATATCTTTTTTCCCACAGACAAAGAAGGCATTAACTCTGAAGCACAAACAGAAAAGGATGTAGCAGATGGAAAGGACAAACACAACAAACTACCGGCTGTGTCTGAAGAGAGTTCACCCGAAAACTGTCGGACTCCTGGGAGGAGGAAAAGGAGGCAGCCTGGAGAGTGGTGGCTGAACCATCAGACCGCAGAGGAAACAAAGGGGACAGACACCCAGTCGACACCAAAGAAGTCAAAGCCGTACAACAAAGAGCCCAGCGCAGCAGTCCCCTCACCTGTAAAGACGAAGAAGGACAGAGTTTTAAAGAAAGGAAATCAGACACAGCCTGCGCCGTCATCCAGTCAAAAGACAAATAAAGCTAGAGAAAAGAAAACCACACAGAAAAAAAACAGGAATGCAAGAGGAGACAAACCGGACAAAGTGTTTCACACGATTGAGGCTGAGCAGAGTGAAGGGCAGGAGCAGCTGGAGATCCTGGACCAGGGCCTGGATGTGGAGTCCAGTCCTTTGGTCCTCACACGGAGAGACCACAGCTTCCACTCGGGTGAGTTCAGCAGTGGAGGAGGTGGCGTTGTATGAGGTTCTCATCAATAGTCACTGTATTACCTACAGCTGATGGCGGTCGGCACGTTCCCAGTTTGGAGAAGCAGGCAGGAGTAATGCTGTGGACGGGGGCAGCAGAACATATTTTAGCCATGTAAAAAGTTCCACCTGGAAAGAATCAATATCAGTTTAAGAGCAGGCTATATTTAGAATATTTTCACCGCTTTATCTTGATATCAGATAGCGATTTCCGACTCGTTCAAGCACTTTGAGTTACAGCTAAAATCTGTTTTGTGTTTTTAGCGAGGTACAAATAATACCTGTATTTGAGTTTTGTAAACCTAAAGACCAACCGATAAGTTACTCACTAATATGTGATGTTTTACAGGTGAGCAGGTATTTCCGAGAGCATACCATCACGCCTCCAGTGAAAAACTGTCCATCACACCAGCGCCTGTCTCTCCCAGAAGGCCTAGGGAGCAGCTCAGGGCAGCCGAATCAAACAGGCGGAGGAGGAAACCTCCCGGGAACTGGTGGGCTGTCAATGATGTGTCCGAGGACATCTCCTCGCAGCCGGAGCCACAGCAGCAGGAGCCCAAACCTCGTAAGGAAAGAAAAAAGCAGTCCAAACAGAGCAGGTCTCCTCGACTCGGGACTCCCAAAAACGGCAACATGGCAGTCTCGTCAAAACCACCAGGGGGAACTCCGGTGCCTCCTCTGAAACCGACGACTGTCAAACGCTCTCTGGCCATGGTTAAAGACATTTTCACCTCAGCTGTGGAGACCCCGACTGTGATCAGCAGCAGAGAGACAGTTCAGAAGAATAAAAGACATAAAGCCAGTGCATATCCTGCCAAGGACGTCACTGTGACTGACTGTGCAACATTCAATAAGTCTGACAGAGATATTCTCAGTATGGATGCTGATGAGCACAACAGCCCTGTAAATCATGAGGCCCCACAGGACAGACAGTCAGAGGACAGGTAAGAAACAGCTTAAATGTTGAAACTCTTAACACCTCCCTTTATAAATTGTTTTTATTATTATTTATTTATCTTTAATTATTATTTGGCAGGTTAAAACTCTTCAGAAGTGGGCCGTCCTCCATGATTGAGCTGCAACAGTACGAGGAAGAGGAGGATGATGACTTGAGTATGTTTTTAAACATTATATATAGATTTATATATTTGCCTCACTTACCACTTTATTTTAAGTGTACAGATAAAGTATACAAATCTAAAACACCACTCCTTATTCCCCTGGAAGTACTGTTTTGCCAAGTTTATGATGAAAAACCTCAATTATTATGAATAAGGAATGAATAATAATCATTGATTTACTACAAATATGCTCCTGTAGCTTAACAATCCCTCCAGGTTGTTGTGCAAATGTTAACACAAATTCAGCCAATCCCTGTGAACTCTGTGTGACCTTGCAGTTTTGTCCAATTACCGCAACTTCACCGCAAATTTTACGGATTAAATATGACTATGAACGACAGATATTCAGTCCTTGATTGTGTGTATGCTAAATTGTGAAAACTTTGAATTTTCTAATTGATCACCAAGCCATCCCTTTGTTTCAGGTCCACCGCTACCCAGAGTCTCTGCTGCTCTCTCCATATCAGATCTGTGTGCTCCTCCCCTCAAACCGCTGGTGTTACAGTCGAAGGATAAGGCCAACCTGGCAGAGTGGTTTCAGAGTCTCTGGCCTGTTGACAGTAAGAGAATATAGTTCCTGTATTTTCAATGACTATAGAGAGAAAAGTAGAAATGAAAATGGTATTTGAGGGATCAGGCTGTGTGAATGTGGGGTATTCTTTCTTTAAAGGAAGAACAAGTCACAAAAGTGTCACTCGGCAAGCCCAGATGTGCCTAGTGTTGTTAACTTGCATCTGTTATGGAGCTGAGCATGTTTGAATTTACTCCAAGAAAAAGTTTCAGTGTTATGACAGTGTTACTTAGATTCTCCTTACATTCTGTGTGAAGGAAGAACTCTTTCCAGCTCAGTAATTTTGGTAATTAAAATGAAATTAAATTTGGAAGTGAGATCAAACAACCCAGGAACACTACACTCACAAAATGACCATTCATAAATCAACTAGTCATGCCATGTTAAAACTTTCTGTCATACCAGTAAGTATGTCAGAAAACGATTTAGTGTGTCTTGATACATAGTATGTAAAATGCAGTATGCCAAAAAAAACCCAAAAAAACATTCCACTGGGGGCAGCTGTGGCTCAGCAGACAGAGCAGGTCGTCCACATATCAGAGCGTCCTTGGGCAAGATACTGAACCCTACATTGCTCCTGATGGCTATTTCATCAGCGTGTGAATGGTGACTGAGTAGCAGGTGGCACCATGTATGGTAGCCTCGGCCACCCATGTGTGACTGGGTGAATGTGATTAAGTGTAAAAGCACTTTGAGTGGTCGGAAGACTAGAAAGGCGCTATACAAATGCAGTCCATTTACTGTTACTGCAGTCAGTTGCATTCTACATTCTGCAAACCAGCATGCTATTCTGACTATACATATATACTGACCCACAATCCTCAGATCCACGATACCCCACGAGCTGAGCTGCAAACACATGACAGCTTGACACCTCTTTGACAGCTGTCAGAAGCCGCAATGACGGATGACAGCGCATTTAAGATACTGATGACCAGAGGCATAGTAATAAAGGAATATCATTTTTTAAGTGAACAAAATAATCATTAAGATTGCAACAAAAAGACACAACTGAAAATAACAGACAGAGAACTACACACACTGCAAAGTAACAGCAGCAGAGCTCTCTGGGCTGACTCCTGTTTCTGGCAAGCCTGATGAATGGCATTTTGTTTTACTTCCAAGGTAACGGATGTATGAACAAGAGGGTCAAAGGTCAGGGTGCAATGTTATGAGGTAGTAGGATGTCCCGAATGTGTGCATGCTGCATGCAACAGTACATACTTTGTAAGGGCAGCTGCAGTACATACTGAAAGTAAAAAGAGAAAGTATGTGATTCTGAACGCAGCTCCAGTTGTACTTGCATGCCTTCATGGAAAGTGGTGGACACACTGATTGATTTGAGAGCACATTTAACAACATCAAAACTATCAAAACATTCATTTACAAAACTCGCACATCTCGTGCAGTATAATCCAAACACATACGTTTTCGCCAAAACCTTGGTATTGGAATCTGGCCCTGAAGTTTCAAACGCATGTGTTTGGGAAGTACTGAACACACGACTGAATAAATGTGACTTGAATTATACTGCAAGAGTTGTGTGGGCAGTTTGTAAATTAGTGTTTTCATATAGATTTGTTGCTGTTAAATGTGGTCTCCATTAAATCAGTAAATAAATGTGTTTGCTTTTTTCCATGGAGGCATGCGAGAATAATGTTTTCTTCATGGATTCAAAGTAACACAGCATGACGAACTGATTTTCAAGCGGTCATTTTGTGGCAGAAGTATTCCTTTGATGTATGAGCTAATACACAAAGTGATCTTTATAACAATCATTTCTAATTGCATCAAAATATATATTTGTATGACTCATTTTCCCACAACAGTGTTTCATATCTTTCATATCTTTTTTTAAATCGAAACTCTGTGTCATTTATCTCTATTATTATCAAAATATTCTTATGAAACAGTATAAAACAGAAGTAATTATTGACCAGACGTGTCATTGATCATTTTTACTGTTTAATATCATTACAGGAGGCGCTGAGATCACTCCAGACCAGTTTGATTGGTATTTCCATCAAGGCAGAGCTATTGGCTTCCTGGTGGACCTGAACTGTGGCTCAATCTGTAACGGAAAAATCCTGCTGGGCTCCTACATGAAGAAGCCTCTGTGGGTGGATCACAGCGCCACGACAGTCAGTACACTTCTCATACACTTGTGATTATGCTCTACTCCTGTGTTAGTTTCATGTCATCTCATTGTCTCCCTTTCTGTCCTGTTGTCCATAAGATCTTGAAAGTGTTTAAGTACTAATTATTTCTTTCATTGTCGTGTTTTTAAAGGTTTTTGAATTATTAACAAGCTCTGTGAGTGTAGTCATCGACAGCAAGGAGTCCCGCTTCCACCCTGGACAATCCTTTATGGTGCCATGTGGTAAGAATGTAATATTACTACATATATACTGAACAAAAATTTAAAAGCAATACTTCAGGTTTTGCGCCTATTTTTCACAGGTTTAAGGTAAAGATCTGAGACTTTTTATGCTCTCAACAGATACATTTCTCTCATATTTGGTCACAAATGTGTAAAAATCTGTTAGTGAGTGAAGATAATCCATCTACATGACAGGTACTGCATATCAAGAGGCTGATTAAAGAACATTGTTACTACACGTGCTCTTTGGGATGGTCACAATAAAAGCTAACTCTTAAATGTGCAGTTTGATCACACAATAGGAAATCACAGACGTCTCAAGTTCTTAGGGAGCGAACCATTGGCATGCTGACTGCAGGACTGTCCATCAGAGCTGTTGCCTGTGAGGTGAATGTTCATTTCACGACCATACGCCGTCTCCAATGTTAATTCTGAGAATTTGTCAGCCTCACAACAACAGACCACATGGAACCACACCAGCTCAGGAAGTCCACATTCATTGTCTTCACCTTTAAGATCCTCTGAGACTGGCCACCTGAACAGTTGATGCAACAAGAATTTCTGTACAAACTGTCAGAAACCGTCTCAGGGAAGCTCATCTGCATGCTCATCATCACCAGCAACTTGTGCGGCTGAAAGGCCAGTTGGATGTACTGCCAACTTCACAGAAGCAGCACAGGAGACGGCTTGTGGTCATGAAATGAACATTCAGTTCACCGGCAACAGCTCTGGTGATGTAAGAAATATATCTATTTAGTGCATAAAAAAACCTTAAACCTGTGATAAATGGGAGCAAAAACAAAGAGATGCATTTTGATTTTGAAGTGTATTAAGACAGAATTAAAAACTTGAATTGCATCTTAGTGAATTGCTTCTTAGTAATGTCAAGATGTCCTTGTATGACCTTTTAGTGGTAAATGTCCAGATTTAAGATGTATACCTGTAAAAATGTTAAGTGTTCTGTTTGTCTTTGTCAGTGTTGTAATGATGTCACTGCTCTGTTCACACAGGACACGCCTACAGCATCCAGAATATCAATGCTCAGCCTGCAGTTGTGTACTTCACCAGGATCCTGGCAGAAAGTTCAGACTGAAGTTGTCGGCTGGATTACCAGCTGCATGTTTCTCAGTAATGACTTGCTCCCTTTAATGTTGAAAATTTTGAGGAAAAAAAAAGACTGGCGATGTGTGACATTATGTCTGTATATATTTTTTTTACTTTCTGTATTAAAATTTGAGTTGTAAATATGAAAACATTGGTTAGTGTTTTTATGAACCTGTTTGATCTGAAGCTGTGCTTGTAAAAAAGAAAAACAGTAAAAATGATTTCAAATAAAGTTTTGTGCTTGTTGATATTTTGAGTATCAGACATTGACACGCATTGTATTTCTGGTGAAGTTTTATGCACCACTTTGTACAAATGACTGTATATAAAGATGGTCGAAGCGTCTTCATGTCCTGCCACTGTACAGAAATGAAATCAAAATATCCCAGATACGGGAGCAGCCATTTTGTGCTGCTGACATCATTTGGAGCCAGAGTCTGCATGTAGTTATCTCACTGGTATTAAGGGGGAAAAAACAATTTGACAATTCGGATTTTGATTTTTAGTTTGGCCGATGTTCCATCTACTTCTCTATAAGGACAGGCAGGATTCTTGACCTATACTGCAGCCAGCCACCAGGGGGCAATTTAGACGGCTTCATTTTTGGGGAGCTGTCATGTCATTCACTTATTATTCAGTCTATGATTTAATAATAATAATAATACACTGGATTTATAAAGCTTTACAGAGAACAGCAACAAAACAGAAAAAAACAAAAATGAAATAGTCCATAAGAAGGGAAACAATGCAGAGAGGGAGAAGAACACAGTTGTTAGAGTTTGTCGGCAGTTTTCAAGAGTCGTGTTTTGAGGGATTTCTTGAAGGTGGAAAGTGAGGGGGAGTCTCTCATGTCAGTGAGGTCCAGAGGGTGGGATCAGCGATAGAGAAAGCCCTGTCCCCCTAGGTGTGGTAGTCAGTCCTGGTGGAGGTAAGAGGAGGTTGGCATCAGCAGACCTGAGAGTGTGGGTTTGAATTGTACCTTATGGGATTTAAAAAACACTTAAATTGTTGATGTGTTATGAACATCACCTTTTTAGGGGGTCCCTGTGGAGGACTGTGTGCTCTGTAAGGTCGACACACCTGTCTTCCTGTCCAAGTGAGCACAACAGAGGTCAGGGAGACACACTGCATTCCAATCCCCATACTGACATGTATGTCAAATGCAGTGTGCCAAAACCACCAGAATGTTCTACTGCATCCAGTCTAATTTTGTAGTGTGCAAGCCAGCATGCTTCTTTCAGTATTCTGACACACAGTCCTCTGTGCAGCTGAAGGTATGTTACATCAGCTGAGTCACAAACAGATGACAGCTCACTGACAGCTGACAAAAACTTGCAGTGACGGATGATTAGTTGATTGGTAATAATAGACATATTAATTTAAATGTTATGTACTCGTAGGCTTACTTTACGGAGGTGAATATAAAAGGTAAGAATCCACAGTTTATACAATTATAACGTAATAGTTATGCACATGATTTGGTGATCTTCTGCCTGTATACAGCTGTTGAAGATTTGCTCAAACTATGGGGCTGATTTTGAAGTCAAATATAACGCCAATAAGAGCAACATTATGATTGTTAGATGTAAAGAAGACAGAAAATTTGTATTTCCTGAATTCTTATCTGATATTGCTCTTAAAGTGTGTAATGAGATTTAATATCTTGGCTGTCATATTGTCAATGATTTATCTGAGGATAAAAATATCCACAGACAGTGTTGCAAGTTGTATTCAGCATGTGTTCAGTCAATGTGTACAAAGCTCTTTTTAGAATTTTTTTGTACCCTGCTGAATACTGCCCTCTTGTGGCCCTCCTATAGGAAGAGTAACATGCAAAGACTTAATGTGGCCTATAACGATGGCATGAGACTGCTTCTTAAACTTCCACAATGGTGTAGTGCCAGCCAAATGTTTGTACATGTTGGGGTGCCTACCTGCTCTGCCTTAAAAGGAAATCTTATATATTGATATTTGTGCCGGTTCTCCTCCTAAATCTGAGGTTCTCTGCTGGATTGCCTCCTCCAGGTTGGGGGAGAGTTACTGCCTCAAGTGAGGGGGTTCAAGTATCTCAGGGTCTTGGTCACGAATGAGGGTTACATGGAGATGGATCGGTGGTTTGGTGTGGCTTCCGCAGTGGTGCAGGTTCTGCACCGGACCGTCGTGGTGAAGAGGGAGCTGAGCCAGAAGGCAAAGCTTTCGATTTACTGGTCCATCTACGTCTCACACCTCAACTATGGTCATGAGCTCTGGGTAGTGATTGAAAGAATGAGATTGCAGATACAAGCAGCTGAAATGAGTTTCCTCCGTGGGGTGTCTGAGCTCAGCTTTACAGATAGGGTACGGAGCTCGGACATCCAGAGGGAGCTCGGAGTAGAGCTGCTGATCCTTTGTGTTGAAAGGGGTCAGTTGAGGTGGTTCGGGCATCTGATCAGGATGCCTCCTGGGTGCCTCCTGTTAGAGATGTTTCCGGCACGTCACACTGGTAGGAGGCCCTGGGGCAGACCCAGAACACACTGGAGGGATTACACATGTCATCTGGCCTGGAAATACCTTTGGGTCCCCCAGCAGGAGATGGAAAGCGTTGCTGGGAAGAGGGATGTCTGCGGTGCTTTGCTTGGCCCGTTGCCCCTGTGACCCAGCTTCAGATGAGCGGATGAAAATGGATAAATGGATGTGCCGGCTCTCTGTCTCAGAAAATGGTATCATCCAGACCTTGGCCAACCCTGAGCTGAGTTCAGTCAGGTTTTCCGGCTCTCCAGCTTGTTTGTGGGCGCATGCTGAATGCTGTTTTTTTATGTCCAAGATGTTTAAGTAAAAGGGTCAAAGTTCAGGGAGCATTGTTATGAAGTAGTTGTATGTCCAAACTGTATGAATACTGCATGCAACAGATCATACTTTGCAAGGGCAGCTGCTTGTACCTACTGAAGGTAAAAAGAAAACAATGCCAGTCAGAATGCGCCCACAGTCTATCGCAGGACTGAGTGTCCATGTTGAGCAGCTCATTCAGAGGGTGTAAGAGCAGAGAGATATTCAGGACAGTACTCCTCAGAGGTGGGGGCAAGTCATTGTTTGGCAAGAAGTTTGCACTCAAGTGCCAAGTCAACTCCCAAATCCTAAACTTAGAGTCCCAAACAAGTCATAATGCACTCATCACTAAATGTAATGCCATTTTAACAGCAGAGTAATAACTTTGTCAAATTTACAGAAGTCATGAATGCTTTTTAAAAGTTTGTTGGACGTTTTTGCATCTCCGTCTGTAATTTTTAATCCGGATGTTTCGCATAGCCTATTTTTGCACATGAAAGAAATTATCTTTGGTATCATTTTTTTCCCCCACCTGGCACTCGGTAACGCAAAGGTAGTTCTTCATGGTTCTCTCCTGCAATTTGACTGAACGCTGTCTGATTGTTTCAATGGTGTCGAATTGATGGGCTAAACAGCATTAATGTTGGTTGATACATGAAATGAGGGATGTACTTCTTAAATAACATATTTTTTAATCTTTGGGTTTGTGGGAAAGGTATTGAGTACTTTCAAGTCAAGAGGCTCAAGTCCAATGCTGTGTCTCAAATCACGTACTTCCATTAATACACTTCCATGTAGTATACTATGTGCACTATGTACTTTTTGGCATAGTGCGCAAATTTTGGCAGGGTAGTGTTGTCTCAAACCAACCAGAAATGACGACCGCAAATTAGCTAGTTAGCAAACTAGCATTAGCATTTTTCGCGGTACCAGACTGCTAAATTAACCCAATAAACATACTGCTGGCTTATACCCAACAACAGTATAGTGGTGCTTAGTGCAAAATAACGTGAATTTGTACAATGCAGTGACGTTCATGTTCGCACAGTCCTCGGCCGCCATTTCCAGTTTGAAAAGTGGTCCCTCCCCTTCCACTACGTAGCCAAGATGGCGACCATTGAAGGCGAGAAGTGTCCATAGCTCTACACTGAACTTCTTGACCGTTTTGAATGCACCATCCGGGTACTCATAGTGCACTGCATTTTTCCATACTTCTCAGTGTGAACGCACTTGTGCACTCAAAATCTTAAGTGTAAGTACAGAAGTTTGCGATTTGAGACACAGCACAAGTGAAGTCATGAGTCATTGGTGTTAAGATCTCAGTCGAGTTGCAAGTCTTTTTTGATTTTGTCAAGTCTAAAGAAAAAAGAGTCTGACTCGAGTCCACACCTCTGGTAATCCCTCTTTCAGCACCAGCACACCATATAGGACAATCAATATTTTGCAGGATGGAGGTCAACCCTGCACGTCACTCCAGCTGTCATATACATGCAGACAAGTTGGGTCGGCCACGAATCGGAAGATCGGTGGTTTGATCCCCAGCTCCTCTAGTGTGCATGTCAAAGCATCCTTGAGCAAGATGCCGAACCCCACATTACTCCTGATGGCTGTTCCATTGATGTTTAAGAGCATGTGAATGGTTACTGAGTAGCAGGTGGCACTATCTGTGTTAGCCTTGGCTCCCAGTGTGTGAATGGGTGAATGTGACATGTAGTGTGAAAGCACTTTGAGTGGTCGGAAGAGTAGAAAGGAGCTATACAAGTGCCGTTCATGTACCATTTACAAGGAAATCTTTGATATTTCCCTCTGAAATGTGGTGGAGTTACCTCTTTTGCCCAATTATACACTGATACAATAGAGGCACAAACTCAGGTTGAGTTGGGGTCAAGGCACAGTAGGTCTGGTGGTATCATTCTGTCAGATGATATGATCATGTTAATCTATCGTTGACACAACACAAGTCCTCTGGTGGGCTTAAAGTCATACCCGTTGTTATGTCATGAAACATTTACTGACCTACTTCATTAAGCTGTAATTATCTTTCTGTATGTGAATCTGTTATCATTTATCTATACCACTAAATAATTAATGACGCACTGATGCCAACATGTTATTTAAAAGGAAGCTTGGCATTGCTCCAGCTGATATTTGGATATGCCTTCATCCATAACACGGTGATTTATCTTTTATAGGCTGCATGATTATTGCGTAATGACGGCCCCCTCTACTCTAAGTCTGTTTCTGCAGGCTTTGAAACCGCTGGTGCAGACGTGCCGAAAGAGCCACTCAAATTAAAGTCATCAACGTCTCTGACTTGAATACAAACCAAAGGAAGAGAGTTTCCACAGCTGAGCTTCAACAGCCTGCCACTTTGATAATTTATCATCTCTGAATGTCTAGTTTTAGCTGTGCCCGGTGCACTGGCAG